GTGGTATTTTTAAATACAGCCAAACTGGACTTCTTGTGTGTCTCCTGGATTTGCAGCTCACGTTTTCAGGGGGTTTTTATCTACTACCTCGACAGCCAGAAGCTCTTTTTCTCCCCCTCTAAGCGATTCTCCTGTAACGACAACTCCAGGAGTTGGGGTTTTAAGGAAAGTCAGCCAAATCTTAGGAGGCTCTCGACACAGATCCTGACTTTTGGCAGCAGCGCTCCCTCACCCACAGCCGAGATGCTGACTGCAGCTCGGGAGATGCTTAAGTAACCAACTGCAAAGCTATTTATCAAATGACTCCAAGTCAAGGGCACGGCGGATGCAGAAGCAGATATAACCCCCCTCAACAGCCCTGCCTGCGCGAAGGACAGGCAACGGGGAAAACCTTCATCCAAAGCCACAGAAGAGACTGGGAGCGGCAACATGGGAGCAGCGACAGCTTGTAGGGTATTTCTTATAAGCGCCCTGCTTATAGGAAATAGGTTGGGTTTTGCACTTCAGGCACTTTTTAAGTGATATTTTTATATCTCAGGCATTTTATACTGGTTTCTGAAGAGATGAAGCTCCTGAGACAGCTTTGTCTGTCCTCCTACATTGAAACAAATTAGCCTGGAAGGCAGAGACCTCCAAGACAGCAAGTTCCTACAGGTCTCACGAAGACGGGCACTTTGCTAGAGAAGACTCTAGTAAGCATCTGGCTCGGGGAGCTGCTGCACCCAGACCAAGGAGGGTCCCTGCGGTTTGGTTCACGCCCTGGCTGTGGAACCTGTACACACTCGGCACCCACAGAGCCCAAAATAAACCATGGCACACACTAACGCCACCCGCCCTGTGGCGAGCAGAAGAGAGCAAACCACAGGTATTGCTCACAGAGTAACTTTATTACGTGTCTCTCCCTTGCATGGGTTTGCCCAAACACTGACAGCTCTAAAAATGAACCTTTTTCTCCCCTGGTTTTACACAACCAGACTTTTGACCCCAGCACCCCAGTCAGTGGAAACCTTGCCATCATTTTACCTTCCTCCAGCTGATCCCTCTGCTCACCCTGGCTCTGCCTGCCCCTTCTCCGAGCTCTTCAGGACCAAGGGTGACTGTCACCACATCCAGCACCCAGCTGAGATAAAAACCAAAGTAACAGCAAAGAAGGGATGTGACCCAAGATGCTAAAATCTGCATTATAAACCTCACAGTATTCAGATCCTACAAGAGGTCCTCATTTTAAGCAGGAACTGGATCTTATTCCCTTTTTCCCCAGTGCTCTCCTGAGCACTTCAGTAGACTGGGTCTGACAGCAGCATTACTATAACGCAGGCAACAGCTACGCTAACAGCTTGGAGGAGCTGAAGTTTACAGAGCTTCCTTTACTCAAGGGAACTGCATTTTTCTAAGATTATATTATTTCTTGGGCTGGTCGCTCAGTAATGCAACATCATTTCCCTTTTGGGTGGGAGAGTTCTCTCCTTGTCCTCGGACGCAAATTATTTCAGCCTGAAAGGATGAATGCGAACTCTCTGCATAATCAAAGAGCCGTAAGTGAACCGTGCCCCTTGCTGAAGCAGCGGGATGTTATGGTATAACACCTGGATATTAAAAATACATAGTGATGGGTGCACACACATCAGCTGTATGTATGCAGAACAGGGTGAGAGGGAAGGGTGGCCAGATGTGACAAAACCATCTTCTCCTGATAGGCATCCACAGACTTCATTCTTTCACTGAGCCTGTGCTTTCAGCCCTCTTGAATCTGCTCTGGATGAATATCCCAGCAAATGAACTTCTAATATTTATGGAAACAGCAAATTACAATGCAAATGTCACAAAACTGCTCAGAGAAATAAAAATTTGAATTTGTAATCAGGTCTACTTCCACTGAAAATTGGATTCTGCCTTTTACACTCAGCCGATCAGGAAAGAGAAAAAACATATTGTATGACCTACATCTTCAATCGAATGTAAATAACAGGGCCTGTGGTTGGGGTATTAAGGCCTCGTGATGAGCTTGCTCACGAGCTACAGGCTATGGATTTTGTATCGGACAGTATCAGGGAATATTATGAACGACCAACCTTGCACTTGGAGCACCTTCAGACCCTCTGGCTGGTCAGACTGTCCTGAAAGCTTCTTTGCACCATTGCAACAGCAGAAAGACACCACGACAGGTGCCAGGATCTGGCCATGCCTCTTTCCAGAGGAGCTCTGTGCGTGTCCGAATGGATCAGCCCAGGCGTGAGCGGTGCTGTTGGTCTGTGCAGAGACACCCTGATCCACCCAGACCATCCTCACCCCCCATACCCCAGAAACTTTCTTGAAACTATGTGGGGAAGCAAAGCCAGAATCCAGAGGGTTTACACTGGCTATTTCTGATCCATCCAGCTCGGGATCATTTCCCCAGGGTATTTAGGAGGTTGCAGCCCTGCCCTGAGCACCCCACGCATGGCAGGGGCAACCGGACGGGGTGCAGCACGCCGTGCCCCCTCCTGCCTCCCCGCAGCAGCACAGATACAGGCAGAAAGACAGCTTTTTTGTGCTGCAAAAGGCAGCAGGCTCAGCCATAGCTGAGCCCTACTGCTCTGTACCTACCTTTATTTTGGAAATGGTACGTAGCTACCGTCAGTGGGGAACCCACAGCACTGGCCAATGGGTCCTTCCAGCAGCGACTCCAGGAGAGCTGCAGACTTCGGTGGTGCCTTAGTCTCTACACCACAGCACTGAAACACTACTGCTACACTGACAGGTTCTATTGCCTTGATTAACTTGTTAATTGAAATAGTTCTTTATTCTGGGGGGGGGGGGGGGGGGGGGGGGGGGGGGGGGGGGTATTAGCTTTGATGAATGCTTCATTAAAACCATCACAACCAGACTGATGCTACCAAGGCTTCAGTCCAACCACTTCCGTACAGCCATAAGAGCAGTGAGCAGGGTCAGAAACAGATCCTGCAGCTCCTGGTGGCAGCACCCAAACAGGCAGCCAGCACGCACCTACGCTCGGTCGGGCTTTGGTCTCTGCTTTCACCCAAGGGCTGATTGCTCAGGGGACAGAGCAATCCCCTGCTCCTATTGCCCAGACACCTCCCAAAAATCCCTTTCGCAGGATTGCCTGAAACGCTGCAGGTTTGAAGAAGCAGCTTTATATTTCAGATGCACAGGCAGAGCCCCAGCCATGGCAGCATCCGTTCGAGTTTTGCACTACAACCACAGCAAGACCAACTGCTTTTCTAGCCTGGTACAACACCACACCGCTAAATGAGCATAAACCTCTGCCACCTCCTAGAGATGCGATGGTGGTGGAGCCATTAGCCTCCGCACAGCGCTCAGCTGCTGTGACACGTCCCCTGTAGATGAACGGGACGGGGAGGATGAAGGCAGCAGACACAACAGCTTGGGAGCTCAGTCACAGAGGGTTTCTGACTGCCAGCCCCAAAATTGGGATCTGTAAGAGCAAGTAAAGGAAGCAAGTTGTCCCAGAAACCCCACGCTCCTCTAAACTCATCAGTATCTGCAACTTTTGATACTGAAAACAATATTCCCTAAGGAAGGCACCCCTGCACCAGCAAGGCTGGCATCAGCCCCCGCAGACACGGCAGCAACCGCCTGTCTCCTTCGTCCTCCCAGCCACGAGAGAAAATTAAAGCAAATTAAATTGTCCCTCTGAAGTGGTGACGGCTGCTGGAGCAGAGCGCGCTGTGAACACCTGCTGAATGGGTGCGGGCTGCCTCTGGAGGTTTGCTACTGGGAAATTAAACTTTGTGGAGAGCCCAATAACGGGCTTTAGCTACAGCTATCCCCTTACCTGCTGTGCCCTGGCCACAGCTTAGCAGTCGCATTCACTGCATATGGAGGTGTAAATCAATACGCATCACTATGTGGTCCCTGCCAGTTGGGTTACACAATTATCTCTTGGATCGTATTCATCTACCACTTAAATATCACTCAAAGTGCTTTCACAGACTGATACGAACCCAGCCGGTCAGTGCATGACCCTCGTTACCTTCAGGGGCTTGGGATGGGGAACGGGCAGGGAAGCTGATGTATTACCTCCCTCTTTTTCTGAAACACTTTTTTTTTTCCTTCTCTTTTCTTTTTTGATTTTAATTACATACCCCGAAGGAACAGAGCTAAATCTATAGAACTCTAGGGACTTCACGTTTGCAGCACACTAATCTCTTACAGCTCACAGAGAGGAGCGTAGAAGATGCCAAGAAAAGAAAACCCTGCAGCCTATGGGTCTTTTGATAGCAATGCGGAGGCGCAGGAGGTGACCCTTCCCTGTCCACGTGCTGCAGGGGGAGAAGCATCCTTCCTGTACCACCCGCGGTCACCTGAAATCCTATCAAAGCTAAACAGCAGCATCTTACACCTCTCTGCACGGAGAGCCGGGCTTCCGTCCCCCAGGAGACATGAAATACGTACTGTAAAATTTAAGGCAGGTTTGGAGGCAATATCATACTTTTGTGCAAACGGGCATCCCCATAATCTTCTTCCCTCGCTCCTAAATTTGCTTCTTCCACACAGAGAAAGTTTCAGAGATAGAAAGTTAAAAAAATACATAAATAAATGCAGTCTGTTCTGCCCCTCTAAGAGGGTTGGAAAGTTTCTCCTAGCAGCCAGCCTAAATCTCTGCTGCAAGCTAAGCTGATTCCTTCTCAGGTGATTTCACACCTTATTTCCAGGGCTCCCACTGGGGAAGCTGCAAAGAAAGGCAGTAGCTGGCACGGGAGAGAGGAAGAAAGGACAGATGTACAGACACAGACAGCAGAAAAGCAGATCAGCTTCTCAGGGCAAGCCCACTGCTGGCAGCCCCGCACCAGAAGTAAAGGGAAAAGGAACACTGCAGAAACAGGGGGAGACCCCAGCCACAGTGACTTTGTCGGGGGCTCGGTGCCACCTCCACTGTCCCCGTGGTGTCACTGGAATTACTGCCATTTTACCAATGGGAAACCTGAAATAAGGAGACCTGCAGGAGGACAGAGCTTGTAACTGAACCCCCACCCAACCCGGGCTGGCGGCAGACGGTGCCCTTCGTCTCGCCTGGTGCCCACGTAAAACAGCTGCCAGGAGGAATTTCACGGAGGGGTTTCATGATGCTTTAACTCTACTGTCACCAGCTTTCTCGCTTCCTAGTTCATCTATTTTTTCCTATGTTCCTCCCCCCAGATTCAGCCTGTACTTTAAACAACACGCGAAAGCCATCTGTCCTCATTTCGTCACCAGACAAGCCCACGGTGGGTTTGGCAGGGAGGGGTGGCAGATGTGGTCCGAGGCGCAGGCAGGCCAGGGAAGGCAGTGAGGCTCCTCAGGGCAGCCCGGAGCCCACCCTGCTCCCTCACCCCACGCTTTGTGACAGACTCAAAGCCCCATTTCTACTCCCACTGCCTCGCCATCTGCTTGCTAAGCCCTGCCTGAGAAAGGGCTTTTGCCGCCTAACCTCAGACTCGTTTCAAATGGAGATGTAATCTTCATTTCCACGTAGGGCCGGGGTGATGGGTTCACAAGAAACACTCCCCGCCTTGCTTCAAGCAAGCATTTTCAAAGGTGAAAAACATCTCAGAGGGTAGGAGCAGTGGCGAGACAGACAACAGGGATTTCTCGAGCGCCTACAGCTCAACCTGAGGGTGATTCAGGAGCTCCCATCAGCCCGCTCCCATAACGCCAAACAATTCCCTTGACTGACAAGCATAGAGCTGTAGCTAACAGCGAGTGAATCACGGCTGTCAGGACCCAGCGTAATTCATGATGCCATTTGCTAGGGAGCGAGCTACTGCCGGGTTATTTATCACTCCTTCACGATGCGTCCCCCGTTACTTCTGGATGGGGCTGACATGATTCACAAGCACCTGTAGCTGCTGAGCATGGGCAGCACGGAGCAAAGCCTCTGCCGCTGAGCCAGGCGGCCAGGCGCTGGTAGCCAGACAAATGGCTTTTCCAGCATGTGGACAGATAGTTCGAGCTTTTCAGACTCTTAACAAAGGAAACGCATTCCTCCGCTGACTCTCAGGAGTCATCAAGGTCACAGGAAAAGATGCCAGATTGAAAGCTGAGATGAAATTAAATATTTTTTTCTATCCACCGAGGAATTTGCGCAGCTCTCATCAAATAACAGGCGAGCACTTTGCTGGCAAGTTGCAGATTTTATCTTCACAACGTTGATAGCGGGTAAGACAACGTTCTTCTCTCCCGGTATGGAGGGCAAACTGACACTTGAAGCGGCACAAAGAAGTGGCTGAGCTTGGAAGAGACCCAAATCTCCTTAATTTCAGTGCTGTATCCTAGTCACCAGGCTGCTTCGCACACACAAACGCTGTTAGTTAGGAGCTTTCTAATCCACTGCAGGGTACACCTGAGTTGCTATCCCCAACTGTACATTTGGTTTAGCGTGGATACATCTTACAAAGGCATGCTTTGGGTTTGCGAAGAAAACTAAAATATTAGAAATGTGGTTTTGTCGCATTTCCTGAAATTGTATAGCTCCATGAAAATAAACTTAACCTCGAGTACTAAAGCATGATATTCTCTTCACATCAGGAATTAAAAGATGAAATCTGACAGTCCAGCTCAGGCAGGTGATCAATCTTGAAACCTACTTCAAACCTACACAGGACTATTTTGACATATTGGATTTCCTTATACCACCTGCAGGCACCCAGCGCTTTCCAAACTCATTGAGAATTAGTCATTCTTAGAGCTATGTGTCTTCTTCGGCGAGTAAGTGAACCGGTTTACTGGGTGACACTTGAAATGAGCTCTGCTTGTTCTGGGAAAAATATGGTTTATCCTGTGCTGAAACCAAATTCAGCGTCATTTGTAAAGCACCAAACTAGTCATTGCTCCTGATAATGACACTCTAGATGTGGCATGCCTGGAAAAATGTGACTTTATACATGACTAATCTGACAGACTGTAGGCGATGCAGGGAGAGAGGGTATTTATAGAAAGCTGATGGTATCTGTCCCCACACCTGGATGTGGGTCAGCACCTAAGGTGAGATGAGGGCACATCTGATGGTGAGCAGTAGGTGACTCAGACCCTGAAGACCACCCACGGGAGCCACCGATTTCCCACCTGCGAAGCATTGTGGCGGGCAGACGAGTGTCGGCCGTGCCCCTGGTACCCACCAGAGCCTTCCTCAAGTTCCTCTGTGAAGTTTCCACTGCTCGCTTTCGAGTCAGTCCACGCAGCTACAACGCGTTTTACAGTTTCCCACCCGCGACTCCCATCCCAAACCTTCACCCGTCGAAGCGCTTGCCTGTACCACGATGGGCTGGGCAAGAGAGGGATTATGGCGGGGCTGGGGGGAGGTTGCACTTCGCAGCCGATGCAGCTCTGGGTGATGCCGGGATGCTCAGCAACCCTCGGGCGCGGTGCGGCGGGGAGGGCGCGGGGTCCCAC